GTATTTAATTCAGATTGGTTCTGGATGTTTCTTTCTTATATTCAATATACATGTTTATATTTTAAGTTGCGGCTATCTATAGTTCCGTAACTTTCTATCTACATGTAGGCAAAAAAAAAATGATCAACAAGTGCGTACATTTTTGTTAAATAAATATTTATATGTTTCAAAATGTCCATAATTATTGACATCGAGTATATACTTACATTTTCCCCGATTTACCCTTGGAAAATATGTAGATTTTTATCAACCGCAAAATTTTTTTGCGGTCGTATATTGGTATGACGTTGGCATCGTCGTCGTCGTCCGAAGACACATTGGTTTTCGCACTCTAACTTTAGTTTAAGTGAACGGATCTCTATGAAATTTTACCATAAGGTTCGTTACCACAAAAGGAAGGTTGGGATTGATTTTGGGGGTTATGGTACACTGTACCAACAGTTAAGGAATTAGGGGCCAAAAATAAGCATTTTTGTAACTTCCAGACATAACTTGTGTGTTAGTGTATGGATCTCTCTGACATTGTACCACAAGGTTCCATATCACAAAGGGAATGCTGGGATTGATTTTGGGGGTAATTGCCTCAAAATTTCAGGAATTACAAATGTAGGGGCCAAAAAAGGGGCAAAAAACAAGCATTTTTCTAGTTTCATGACAATAACTTGTGTGTAAGTGTATGGATCTTTCTGAAATTGTACTACAAGGTTTCATATCAGAAAGGGAAAGCTGGAATTGAGTTTGGGGGTAATTGCCCAAAACGTTTAGGAAAAAGGGGCCAAAAATAAGTATTTTTCTAGTTTCAAACAATAACTTGTGTTCAAGTGTATGGATCTCTCTGAAATTGTACTGCAAGGTACCATACCACTAAGGGAAGGCTGGGATTGATTTTGGGGTTAAATGCCTCAAAATTTTAGGAATTAGGGGCCAAAAAGGGGCATAAAACAAGCATTTTGTAACTTCCAGACATAACTTGTGTGTTAGTGTATGGATCTCTCTGACATTGTACCACAAGGTTCCATATCACAAAGGGAATGCTGGGATTGATTTTGGGGGTAATTGCCTCAAAATTAGGACCTAATTTCTATTTCAAAAAACAACGGCAGACATTATCTGTTAACAAAGCTCTGTTCATTACCGGTTAATATGTTAAATAAAATTTTAGAGGATTGCAATACAATTTCATATAGCAGTCCTAAGTATGAAATCGTTCAAATTATAATGGCATATTGTTATTCTAAACTGTTTCCCAAAATTGATCGCCCTGAAGATCATAAAAAACAGTTTATTAAAATAAAGTATGTCAATAAAGGTTTTGATTTTGTAAATATTGCCGGTATTTTTAACGACCATTCTGTTAAAGAACAAATTCCGGGATATTTTGATAATACTGAGCTCCCTCTTATTTGTTATATTTACAAGAAATCTACCCGGAAATTTGTGTTTAATTATAGCCAATTGTGTAAAGATGTTAATATCAGTGAAAATACACCTACTTCATGTAATTGCAGTAATTCCGAATACATTTATGGACCCATTTCCCATGTTATAACAGGAGATCTTAACATCGTTCAAGACCGAGAGTTAAAATCATTCCTCAGTAAAGGACCTAAATATCGTCCCCCGTCAATAATTAATTGGAATGAGTGTCGTAATATCATCCACGACTCACTCCAAACTTACTGTCTGAAATGGATAAAACGGGAAAAAGCTGACAAAAAATCTTTGGACTCTTTTTTTAAATCAGTAATGAACATAGTTGATATACGTATTCAACATTTTAAAGAACATTTTACTCTTAACAATAACCACAATAAACCTATTTCTCGTATCAAACATAAACTAAAAGAACTTGCCAAGGAATTTGTTTTTGTCCCGGCCGATAAAGCTGCTAATAATATTATTATTGTTTGACGTAAATTTTACATTGAGGTTCTGAAAAAAGAAATCACCAATTCACCAACATTCCAACTGACTCCATTTTCAGAAAACGACATCTGTAACAAACATAAACTTTTAGCTACCGCTTTACAAACAGAACCAAATACAATGAAAGTCCCAACTATGTATTGGCTTCCGAAGCTACACAAAACACCTTACAAATATAGATTCATTTCGTCTTCAAGCCATTGTTCCACTACTAAATTGTCTATTCTTCTTACCAGTACACTTGGAACAATCAAAAACCTGATAATAAATTGTTCAAATAAGGCCTTCGAAAATAGTGGAATTAATTACTTTTGGAGTGTCAAGAACTCGTTGGAAGTACTTGATAAATTGCATGCATATATTGGTGATTTTGAATCTGTTCAAAGTTTTGATTTTTCTACCCTATATACCACATTGCCTCACATTCTCATTAAGAAAAAATTCACACACCTAATTAAATGGGCATTTAAAAAGTCAGAATGTGAATATATATGTTCAAACTCTTTTAGGTCATTTTTTAGTAGCAATAAACAAAAAAACTATGTCAATTGGACATGCTTTGATACTATATATGCCCTTGAATTTTTACTAGATAACATTTTTGTTCGCTTTGGAGATTCCGTATATCGTCAGGTTATCGGAATTCCAATGGGGACTAACTGTGCACCACTTATTGCGGACCTTTTTTTGTATTGCTATGAGTTACAATTTATGACAAAAATCAGTAAAGACCCATCGAAACAACATCTGATACACAAATTTAATAATACTTTTAGATATTTGGATGATATTTTGGCTCTCAATAATGACGACTTCAGTATGTATACTAAAGAAATTTATCCTGTTGAACTTACTTTAAATAAAGCTAATACTAACAATGACCACTGCCCTTTCCTCGATCTTGATATCTATATCATTAACGGAAAGCTTAATACTAAAATATATGATAAAAGAGATGATTTTTCATTTCCTATCGTTAATTATCCATTTTTAGATGGTGACGTTCCCTTGTCACCATCTTACGGTGTTTATATATCTCAACTTGTACGATTCGCTCGTGTATGTAACAATGTTTTAGATTTTAACGAGAGAAATTTATGTATTACTGAAAAATTATTACACCAGGGTTTTCGATATCACAAACTAGTCAAAACATTTACTAAATTTTATCATCGGTATAAGGACATCATTCGTAAATATAGCTCAACATGCAGACTTCTTATACGTTCAGGTATTTCACATCCATTTTTTTATGGAAATATTCTTTATAAAGCACAAAAATGTCAGTATTCACCTCTGAAACTAACAAAACCTTTAAATAGACTTATTAAGAAGGGATATAGTTACGATACTGTTGTCAGGTCATTAAAGATTGCATATTTTGGCGTTAATATTGATTCACTTATAGGGTCTTTGCATCGGCACTAAACACATTTATTTAAAAACCAGTTGTTGGCATGACACGGGTTATGTTCTTCTCATATATGTTATGATGGTATGATACTAAACCCCTAAAGGGAAGGATTGTGCCTGATATTCATATGATGAAGACATAATCTTTCAATCAGTTTAATTGAAGTTTGGAGCTGGCATGTCAGTTAACTGCTAGTAGTCTGTTGTTATTTATGTATTATTGTCATTTTGTTTATTTTCTTTGGTTACATCTTCTGACATCAGACTCGGACTTCTCTTGAACTGAATTTTAATGTGCGTATTGTTATGCGTTTACTTTTCTACATTGGCTAGAGGTATAGGGGGAGGGTTGAGATCTCATAAACATGTTTAACCCCGCCGCATTTTTGCGCCTGTCCCAAGTCAGGAGCCTCTAGCCTTTGTTAGTCTTGTATTATTTTTAATTTTAGTTTCTTGTGTACAATTTGGAGTTTAGTATGGCGTTCATTATCACTGAACTAGTATATATATTTGTTTAGGGGCCAGCTGAAGGACGCCTCCGGGTGCGGGAATTTCTCGCTGCATTGAAGACCTGTTGGTGGCCTTCTGCTGTTGTCTGTTCTGTGGTCGGGTTGTTGTCTCTTTGACACATTCCCCATTTCCATTCTCAATTTTATTTTTCTAGTTTCAGGACAATAACTTGTGTGTAAGTCAGTCAGGGGTACTACTTGAACAAGTAATCTTTATTTACTTGAAGAAGTAAATAAAATATACTTATATAAGTTAATTATAATGTTTGAATAATCTCCCCTTAATTTTCTCAAAAATTTACTTGTACAAGTAAATTTTTTTTACAATCCCTCAAAAATTCTCAAGTTTTGAGATGTAAAATCATGCCTTTAACAATTTTTCTCAGGTTAGCTCATAATTTTTGATAAGAGTTCAATGTTTCATCTCATTAATTCAACAAAGAAACTGATTGCGCAAAGATCTTAAGTATTTGTGCAAGGCCTTCAAAAATTGCTCCTTGGAGGCTTGTAAATGAGCAGTGTTCTGAAGATAACAGACAAATGAGATTTTCATTGTCCATGAAATTACACTTAAATGATTAGTAAAGACATCTGCAAAGGACAGACAATTCAAAATTCAGTTAGAGCAAAGAAGTTCTAAGAATTCAAGAAAAGAAGATAGGATGACTTTTTTACTTGTATAAGTAAAAAAATCTGAATGTCTAAGGGACATAAATAGGCCAAAAAATAATTGACCTATACAAGTAAATAAAATACACTTGTATAAGTATCCTACAAATTTACTTATATAAGTATATTAATATTTACTTCTTCAAGTAAATAAAAATTACTTGTACAAGTAGTACCACTGACTGTAAGTGTATGGATCTTTATGAAATTGTACTACAAGGTTCCATATCACAAAGGGGAAGCTGGGTTTGAGTTTGGGGGTAATTGCCCTAAACCTTTAGGAATTTGGGGCCAAAAAGGGGCCAAAATTAAAAAAACAAGCATTTTTCTAGTTTCCAGACAACAACTTGTGTTCAACATGTTCAAGTGTATGGATCTCTCTGAAATTGTACTGCAAGGTACCATACCACAAAGGGAAGGCTGTTATTGAGTTTTGGGGTAATGAATCATAAGGGGGTTCAAAAATTTTGGGGGGGGGGGTGATTTTTATACGACTGCAAAAATATTTTGGGATCGTATAATGGTATGATATTGTCATCGTCTGTGTCGTCGTCCGTAGACACATTGGTTTCCAGACAATAACTTTAGTTTAAGAATATGGATTTCTATGAAATTTTTTAAGAAGGTTAAATACCACAAAAGGAAGGTTGGGATTGATTTTGGGGATGATGGTCCCAACCGTTTAGGAATTAGGGGCCCAAAAAGGGGCCCAAAACAAGCATTTTTCTAGTTTCAGGATAATAACTTGTGTATAAGTATTTCTATTGCTCTGAAATTGTACCACAATGTTTAAAACCACAAGTTGAAGGTTTGGATTCATTTTAGGGGTTATGGGGCCAACAGTTTAGGAATTAAGGGCCAAAAAGGGGCCAAAAACAAGCATTTTTCTAGTTTCAAGACAATAACTAGTGTGTAAGTGTATGGATCTCTCTGACATTGTACCACAAGGTTCCATATAACAAAGGGAAGGCTGGGATTGAGTTTGGGGTTAATTGCCCCAATTATGTAGGAATAAAGGGCCAAAAACAAGCATTTTTCTAGTTTCCAGATAATAACTTGTGGGTAAGTGTATGGATCTCTGTGAAATTGTACTACAAGGTTCCATACTACAAAGGAAAGGCTGGGATTGAGTTTTGGGGTTATTGCTCCAAGGGGGGCTGCAAAAAGTTGAGGGGAGATGGGGAATTTTTTACCGAATTTTTTTAAGGGATTCATATTTTTTTTTCAAAATTTCGAATTTTTGAAAAGTATCAAGAAGAAATCTTCAATTGCACAGTATTGGGCAATGGATTTATAAGATCTTTGACCACATTTATTTTGTGTCAGAAACCTATATTATGTCAAAAATTTGATCACAATCCAAATTCAGACAGTATCAAGCTTGAATATTGTGTCCAAATTTGCCACAACTGTTCAGGGTTCGACATCTGCGGTCGTATCAGGCTGCGCTCGGCGAAGCATTTTATTTTTCCTTTTTTTCCTTTTTTTTTTCTTTAAAATTTTCCATTTTATATTGGTTATTTCTGATTTATATATAAAAGCAAATAATAATGATATGATTTGAATAGGTAAATTAAAATTTTTTAAGTTCTTAGACCACATTCATTCTGTGTCAGAAACCTATACTGTGTCAAATATTTAATCACAATCCAAATTCAGAGCTGTATCAAGCTTGAATGTTGTGTCCATACTTGCCCCAACTGTTCAGGGTTCGACCTCTGCCGTCGTATCAAGCTGCACCCCAGGGGAGCATTTTATTATTTTATCAAATCTTTTTTTGGAATTATTTAGATTTTCATGAATATCATTCTTTACACCAGAAATGTTATTTGTAAACAAGCCTATGAGTTTAGTAATGACTATAGTATATCACTATAGGACACGCAAGACAAAGATGTATATTACACCTGATAGTTTTAAAATGGAAAGTTACAAGTTATCGGCCGTGTACACTGATCAATACCCTCAGAAGTGAAGCAATGCATGAACTTGCATTATGTAATTGTGTAACATGAATTTTTTAGCCCAACAGGAAATCGCTTGAATACCTGGACGTGTCACCTCACAATACCGCTGGAAATAATTCCTTTAGCCATGCTGGTGATCAGATACAATGTAAGGGAAGGTCCGAATTTATTTAAATAAGTTTATTACATAAAACTAAAAGAATTATGAACAAATTAGATTTTCGAAAACAATCTTACATGGAACATTTATTTTTTATTTGAACTTTGACTTTTTAACTAATTCCCATTTAAATTTCTTGTTTCAAAAACGACAGACCATAGTTATTTAAAAAAAATAATTACATTTTCCGTATCAAGTTAGTAAGGGAAGGTTGCACAAACATGTATATTATAATCATTTTTGTGACCCGGTTAACTGTTTATGCTTTCCTTGTCGAAAATAAAACAACCGTACGCTTGACAAGATATCGACACTCAATTACGACTACGTTAGGTTACTGCTGGTTTTGGTCCTTTGTGGTTTATAGATATCAAGTGGTTTTGTAAACCGGGAAGATGACAAAATGCCCGCATGCAGAGAATTGATACTCTCAATTTAAAATCGATGGTGATCTCTTATCTAGCAGAATAAAACTTTTAATATTTATGAATTTGTGCTTTTTTATACATAATGAACATAATGTCAATTTTTCATTTTTGTGCGAAGTTTCCCTTTAACTTATTTTTTTTTTTTTACAGAAATGACTATAAACATTACTTTTACTGTATATTTCATGTATTTCTTTATCTGAAATGTGAATACTGAATGAACCAAATGTTTAGTGCATGCCCTTCTAATTTGTATCATTTTATCTTAAATGTTGTGTAAAGTTTTGCATGAAATTTACACTTTTTCATTTGTTTTTACTCACAAAATTGTATTTAAATAAAATTTTTTTTGATTTGCACAAAATGTGTTTTCATGATACTTTATTGTGAATTTTGTTGTAAATAAAATACAGTGAACTCATCATTATTTTTATTGCCACACTGTACTAATATTGTATATATATATGCAAGTTTGTTCACTTGATCAGCCCTCAATTTAGGCTATTAAAACAGTCGTCTGGGGGACCTATAAAGCCTCCAGGCGACCTTAATTTCATTATTGGTTGCCATTTGGCAACTGGTACTATTTGGACCTGGCGATCGTAAAATTCGGGATAATCAACCTGCCTCTGGTCGTATTTTATTAAGTTTTATTCACAGCCATACGAGTGCTTGAATGTATGCTAAATCTTGAATATGATTTCAAGCATTTTTATACGACCACGGTCATATATTGGTATGACGTTGGCGTCTTTGTTGTCCGGCGTCGTCTTTGTCGTCCGAAGACACATTGGTTTTCGCACTCTAACTTTAGTTTTAGTGAATGGATCTCTATGAAATTTTACCATAAGGTTCAATACCACAAAAGGAAGGTTGGGATTGATTTTGGGGGTTATGTATGGTACCAACAGGGGCTAAAAATAAGCTTTTTAGCTCACCTGACCTGAAAGGTCAAGTGAGCTTTTCTCATCACTTGGCGTCCGTCGTCCGTCGTCCGTAAACTTTTACAAAAATCTTCTCCTCTGAAACTACTGGGCCAAATTTGACCAAACTTGGCCACAATCATCATTGGGGTATCTAGTTTAAAAAATGTGTCCGGTGACCCGGCCAACCAACCAAGATGGCCGCCATGGCTAAAAATAGAACATAGGGGTAAAATGTAGATTTTGGCTTATATCTCTGAAACCAAAGCATTTAGAGCAAATCTGACATGGGGTAAAATTGTTTATCAGGTCAAGATCTATCTGCCCTGAAATTTTCAGATGAATCAGGCAACCCGTTGTCGGGTTGCTGCCCCTGAATTGGTAATTTTAAGGAAATTTTGCCGTTTTTGGTAATTATCTTGAACATTATTATAGATAGAGATAAACTGTAAACAGCAATAATGTTCAGCAAAGTAAGATCTACAAATAAGTCAACTTGACCAAAATGGTCATTTGACCCCTTAAGGAGTTATTGCCCTTTATAGTCGATTTTTAACCCTTTTTCGTAAATTTTTGTAATCTTTTACAAAAATCTTCTCCTCTGAAACTACTAAGACAAATTTAACCAAACTTGTCCACAATCATCATTAGGGTATCTAGTTTAAAGAATGTGTCCGATGACCCCGCTCGCGAAACAAGATGGCCGACATGGCTAAAAAATAGTACATAGGGTAAAATGCAGTTTTTGGCTCATATCTCTGAAACCAAAGCATTAAGAGCAAATCTGATGAGGATAAAATTGTTCATTAGGTCAAGATCTATCAGCCCTGAAATTTTCAGACCAATCAGGCAACCCGTTGTTGGGTTGCTGCCCCTGAATTGGTAATTTCAAGGAAATTTTGCAGTTTTTGGTTATTATCTTGAACATTATTATAGATAGAGATAAACTGTAAACAGCAATAATGTTCAGCAAAGTAAGATCTACAAATAAGTCAACTTGACCAAAATGGTCAGTTGACCCCTTAAGGAGTTATTGCCCTTTATAGTCAATTTTTAACCATTTTTCGTAATTTTTTGTAATTTTTTACAAAAATCTTCTCCTCTGAAACTAATAAGACAAATTTAACCAAACTTGTCCAGAATCATCATTAAGGTATCTAGTTTAAAAAATGTGTCCGATGACCCCGCATGCGAACCAAGATGGCCGACATGGCTAAAAAATAGTACATAGGGTAAAATGCAGTTTTTGGCTCATATCTCTGAAACCAAAGCATTTAGAGCAAATCTGATGAGGATAAAATTGTTCATTAGGTCAAGATCTATCTGCCCTGAAATTTTCAGACCAATCAGGCAACCCGTTGTTGGGTTGCTGCCCCTGAATTGGTAATTTTAAGAAAATTTTGCAGCTTTTGGTTATTATCTTGAATATTGTTATAGATAGAGATAAACTGTTAACAGCAATAATGTACAGCAAAGTTAGATCTACAAATAAGGCAACATGACCAAAATTGTCAATTGACCCCTTAAGGAGTTATTGCCCTTTATAGTCAATTTTTTACAATTTTCATAAATTTTGTAAATTTTTGTAAATTTTTACAAAGTATTTTCCACTGTAACTACTGGGCCAAGTTCATTATAGATAGAGATAATAGTAAGGAGCAAGAATGTTCAGTAAAGTAAGATCTACAAACACATCACCATCACCAAAACACAATTTTGTCATGAATCCATCTGTGTCCTTTGTTTAATATGCACATAGACCAAGGTGAGCGAAACAGGCTCTTTAGAGCCTCTAGTTCTAGTTTCCATACAATAACTTGTGTTCAAGTGTATGGATCTCTCTGACATTGTACCACAAGGTTCCATATCACACAGGGAATGCTGGGATTGATTTTGGGGGTAATTGCCTCAAAATTTTAGGAATTAGGGGCCAAAAAAGGGCCAAAAAACAAGCATTTTTCATGACAATAACTTGTGTGTAAGTCTATGGATCTTTCTGAAATTGTACTACTAGGTTCCATATCACAAAGGGAAAGCTGGAATTGAGTTTGGGGGTAATTGCCCAAAACGTTTAAGAATAAGGGGCCAAAAGGGGGCCAAAAATAAACATTTTTCTAGTTTCCAGACAATAACTTGTGTTCAAGTGTATGGATCTCTCTGAAATTATACTGCAAGGTGGTTTTCGCACTCTAACTTTAGTTCAAGTGAACGGATCTCTATGAAATTTTACCATAAGGTTCAATACCACAAAAGGAAGGTTGGGATTGATTGGGGTTATGGTACCAACAGTTTAGGAATTAGGGGCCAAAAATAAGCATTTTTGTAACTTCCAGACATAACTTGTGTGTTAGTGTATGGATCTCTCTGACATTGTAACACAAGGTTCCATATCACAAAGGGAATGCTGGGATTGATTTTGGGGGTAATTGTCTCAAAAATTTGAGGAATTAGGGGCAAAAAAAGGGGCAAAAAACAAGCATTTTTCTTGTTTCAGGACAATAACTTGTGTGTAAGTGTATGGATCTTTATAAAATTGTACTACAAGGTTCCATATCACAAAGAAAAAGCTGGGTTTGAGTTTGGGGGTAATTGCCCTAAATGTTTAGGGATATGGGGCCAAAAAGGGGAAAAAAAACCAAGCATTTTTCTAGTTTCCAGACAATAACTTGTGTTCAAGTGTATGGATCTCTATGAAATTGTACTGCAAGGTACCATACGACAAAGGGAAGGCTGGGATTGAGTTTGGGGGTGATGAATCATAAGGGGGTTCAAAAAATTTGGGGGGGGGGATTTTTTTTTCCTTTTTTTTTCTTTAAAATTTTCCATTTTAAATTGGTTATATCTGATTTATATATAAAAGCAAATAATAATGATATGGTTTGAATAGGTAAATTAAAAAATTTTAAGTTCTTAGACCACATTCATTCTGTGTCATAAACCTATGCTGTGTCAAATATTTAATCACAATCCAAATTCAGTGCTGTATCAAGCTTGAATGTTGTGTCCATACTTGCCCCAACTGTTCAGGGTTCGACCTCTGCGGTCGTATCAAGCTGTGCCCAGCGGAGCATTTTATTATAAATATTAGATTTTACGTTTCCGAGTTATAAGATTTTATTTGTTTATAGTCTGACAACAGATTTACTAAGTATTGTGCAACAGCACAGTGTATTGCACAACAGCAAGAAATCTTTCATATAACCAATTTCAAGTTCTTTGACTACATTTATTGAGAAACCTATAATATATCAAATATTTAATTACAAATACAATCCAAATTCAGACCTGTATCAAGCTTGAATATTGTGTCTATTTTTGCCCCAACTTTTCAGGGTTGGACCTCTGCAGGCATATCCAGCTGCACTCAGCGAAGCAGTTTATTTTTATTATTGTAAGAAGAAATTTAAATGATGGCTATAAAGGACATCTATGGCTACTTTAAATTTCTTTTGTATTAATCATCATCAAAGCCAGAACTTCCTAATTCTGAGTATGGAGGCACAGATAGAAAAGGAAGCAGTGGACTTTAATTAGCAACTGTCTTTATTATTTGTTTTCTAGGTCTAGGAATATTGATACACCTCAAAACAGTGGACCCATAACCTACCCACCACAGTCATTTTAGTCAAGATTTTGATTTGTGTATTTTAGGTCCGGGTATGGAGGAACAGCTGGCACAGGTGGACCCCCACAACAGCCATATCAGTCCAGTAAAAGGCTTCAACAGACACAAGCACAAGTGGATGAGGTACAAACAGTCCATGTGTTCAGTTAGAACATTTTGTAGAACTTGTAGTATTGTTTTATTATTCAAACAATTAAAATGATTTCATGTCTCTTGCCACACTCTGACAGAAGCATGTAACCCATGGGCGTCCTTCTGTCATCAAACAGTTTACACACTTTCTTATTATACCTGTTATTAGTCCCCTACCGACCAAGTCGAAGAGGACTTTAGGTTTGCACTCTGTCTGTCTGTCCATCCGTCAGTCCAGCAATTCAGTTTTCCACACTTTTTTTCTTCAGGCTTGAAGATATTGATTTAATATTTGATATATAGTTTTATCGTGACAAGTAACAGAACAAGTGCGAATTATGTTTCTGTCTGATGATTTTATGCAGAGTTATGGTCCTTGGGCTTAGAAAATTCACTCAAATAATCAGTTTTCTGCACTTTTTTTTGTCATGTTTGAAGATATTGATTTAATAATTGGTATATAGTTATATCATGACAAGTTACAGATCAAGGTCGAATTTTGTTACAGTCTGATGATTTTGTGCAGAGTTATGGTCCTTGGATTTAGAAAATTCACTCAAATGATCAGTTTTCCTCACTTTTTTTTTGTCATGCTTGAAGATATTGACTTGATATTTGTTATATAGTTTACACCATGACAAGTTATAGATCAAGTTAGCATTTTGTTTCAGTACAATGAATTTTTAACTGGTAGGGGACTGTATTGCCATGCAATACTCTCAGAATGCTTGTTTGATTTATGTGTTCATCTCTCCTGGTTGTGCAGCTTAACCAGATTACTTTATTTTATTATGTGTTTGTCCTTCTGGTTGCAGGTACAATCAAGAATTTAAATTAAAGTCTATCCTGGCTGTGATATATATATTTTTTTATAACTTTAAACTGCCAAAAAATTGTGAGAGCAAATCTGAAGATCTGAAAGTCATCTGTTCGATCAAGTTGGTTTGACCTTAAGAACACAAATTTTTTAAGAACTACATGTATAATGCTTTTGTACTCTATACTTAAATGATAAAACCTTTATTCCAGGTTGTCGATATCATGAGAGTAAATGTAGACAAAGTTCTGGAGAGAGACACAAAAATCTCAGAGTTAGACGACAGAGCAGGTAAATGAAACATTTAACTGTTATAAAGGTGTAGGTTATTTTTCATAAAAAAAAAAACCCAAAATAGATTGGTGGAGTCACTGGAGAAGTAGAAAAAAATGTCCCCAATCTTCTACTTTCAATTACTTTTGCCTTTTTTGATGTGTGAGGTATATATATGTGAGACATCTAGTCTGTAGGTTTGTATGTATATATATATATCCTATTTTTAGAGGGACCCCAGCTGACCCTTATACATATATGAATAAAGTTAAGAAAGTATATGCTCATGGAAGATGGGACATATTATGGTATAGTAATGTCTATACATCTGTCCATCACACTTTTTACAATGAATCAAATTGGCTTTGATCAATACATACTCATGTATTTTTTAAACAAAATTAGGATTGACAGAAGAAAGCTCTCTTTCAATTTTTAAAATTTTTGGCATTGTTCCAGAGTTACAGTGATTTCCTCCAAACTTTACATTACTGTTATGGTTGATTAAAAGAAGCTTCCTTTTGATTTTTAAAAGCATTTACTTTTATTGTCATCAAAGTATGGCCATTTTGAAATAGAGTGCACATGTTTTTCATTCTATAGTTCTTTCAAGATAGAGTAAAAGTATGCATGGTTTTGCTTGATTTTTGTAATGAAAATTAATAATTTAATGGAAAATTCCTCAAACACAATATTAAAAGGCACAGTAGTTTGTAATCACTTAACTTTAAAAGAAAATGATCCGCTAACAGTTATATAACACAATTCATTTCCGTGCGAACTGATACATGATTTTCAGCGCCCTCTATCCGGCAGAGTCCTCTCAAAGATTGTATTGACAGGGTATTGGAATACAGTCATTAATCTTGATCCGTCTTATGACCTGATTAAAGGGTACAAACATGATTAAAATTATTTTTTATGAATAAAATTTTGTTTTAAAAGAATCCCTTACTTGTTTATATAATATGAAAATACTTTTGTTGAATTAATTGGAGTGTCATATTTGTAAGACTTACTGTTTTAGCAGATCTGCAAAGTCGCGTTTATTTCCATGTGGTAATTTGTGGTATTGAGATATATATAGCATGACCGAACTGATTCACTATGTTCGGTACCTCATATGAAAACAGTTTAAAACAAACGAGATAGATTTTGACATTTTCTGTAAAAGAATATGAATGGATACGATCAAGAATATATAATTAGGAAGAGTTTCAATGTTTCATATAGTTTAAACATGGCACTATGATAGAATTGGGTTTTAACAAATTGTTTAAAAGAAAAAAGAAAAAAAAAAACAAATGTCAGGTGGAATAATTATATGTTATTTCTGTGTAAGGTTCTACTTTCATTCAAGAGTCATAAGGGAACGAACATTTAACTCTGAGGGTGGGTTGGGAGGTGTTTTAATAAAAATTAATTATCTGATTCACCTGAAGAAAAAAATACTCAAATCAGAGAATTTGGAAAAATATTCTGATTGAGAGTTATCGCAATTATATTTTATGTTAAGTTCTTAGAAATAAGAATAAGGAAAATCTGATGGTTTACTATCCCAAAGAACTCAGTGGCTTAAAAAGTTTTTTGTGCAGACCAAACAGTCTGCACAAAAAACTTTTTAAGCCACTACATGTAAGTTAAAAACAGGACATATATATACAAGTCTACAGACTAGAGGTCTCACTAGTATAAAATTTAATTTGTGACTTGTGATAACGGAACTAATAATTATAATTCTTAGTATATGGCAAATACTTTTACCAGGGCTATCACACTTTGATTTTCTAGTTTGCTGGTCTACAGTTTCTGGACTTTAATTGTCAGATTTAAGTAAAATTTTCACTTAATATACCACAACTTGGGCTTATTTGGATTTATATACTGGAAACTTTACACAATTGTTGGAATCAGTCAACATAGCAAATAAAGAGATTGATAAAAAGTTCGGATATATGTCTTTGCAGAGTTATTGGACTTAGACCATTTCTGGTTTGTCATTCAAGAGTTATGGGACTTTTAAAAGTCATAATTGCAACTATATTAATCGCCTATGGTTATGTTTTTCTACAGAGCCATTTTATTGCTTCTGATTAAATGCCTTCAATTTTATTCTTGCACCAATTTTAATATGCACAATCAGGTTATATCATGTGCTCTTGGCACAGCTGTTTATTTTTAATTTGACCAACAAGAAAATATTTTTGCCAAGTACAAATTTCATTCTGTTATAACTGACTTTCAACACTAGTTGTTTTCAATTGCGGATGGTAGACTGGTTCTTAACAGAACAAAATTGGCTGCTGCCAATCCATAGCATAAGAAGTTGAAAGAGATAAATTTATAGGTATTTCAACCAATTTGAAATGAAACATAACTATTAATATTAAAAGTTTTTAACTTAACAAAAGATTGATTTAAAGATTTGAAAAACTAAAAGATTACACACTTAACAAATTTTCTATTTTTCCTAGCTACTTGTTCTCAATATTATCAGGTTCAATTTTTAAACCAATCAGAACAGACAAAATATCTTATAGTAAATGCCATTGATTTATTATATTCATGCTTTATAATATTGAAGCAGCAGTATATAACTAATACTTCATACATTTGGTCAATCTCGAGGGTTTTTTAACTAGAAAAAATACAGTTATTAAAAAAGTGAAGTAAAGCAGGTGGGTAGCTGCCATTAATTTCCGTCCAATACTGATAAACTGTTCAAACTGTTTGCTGGCCTGTTCAAATGCTTTTGATAATTCCCTTTTGCCATTCTGGAGTATGGTCCTTGATAGATTTGAAAATGGCTCTTTATGCCCTTTATATGCAATACTTAATGAACTATGCAACCAATGCTTTCATATTTTGATAGGTTGTAAGTGATGACAAAATTGAGGTCAAGTTCAATATTGTCAATTTTAACCTTTTTGTTCAGGACATATCATCCTTGATAGATTGGAAAATAGGCACATAATATGGCAGGTCAAACAAGCCTGAAAGCTCAATACATTAGAATTTATAAATTTCATTCTGGCTAATGGTAAAAAAGGCTAGACTTTGTCATTGTTTCCAAATAGTAAGCATGGTATGAATTTAGTTAGGGAGATTTTGATGAAGTTTATTTATAGTTGGAAATGCCATGGTGGTGATGATGAAAATAAGAAGATGTGGTATTATTGCTAATGAGACAACTCTCCACCAGAGACCAAATGATGTTGAAGTTAACAATTATAGAACACCATACTGCCTTCATCAATGAGCAAAACCTAAATGTCACAGCAAGCTTTAAAAGGCCCTGAAATGACAAATGTAAAACAATTCAAACTAGAAATTTAACGACCTGGTTTTTGTACAAAATAATAAATGAAAAGCAAATATGACATACAGCAACAAAAACTACCACTGAATTACAAGGGACAGGCACATACAGAATGTGGTGGGGTTAAACATGTTTGCTGGCCTTGTGCCAAACCCTCCCTCTAATCTGGGACAGTGGTGTGACTGTTTAAGATAAGTTTATTCTGGCTATAATTGACAGAATGAGAATATATTGATATATGTAGTAAATGTTAATCATGTTTTCAGAGGCATTACAGCAAGGAGCTTCACAATTTGAAGCAAGTGCAGGGAAATTGAAGCGAAAATTTTGGTGGAAAAACTGCAAGGTATTAAAAATAAATTAATTTATACTAAACTGTACATTAAGAAAATGTTTTATGCTACAATGTACATTTAGTTTATGTTTTATACTACAATGTACATTTAGTGTAATGTTTTATACTACAATGTACATTTAGTTTATGTTTTATGCTACAATGTACATTTAGTGTAATGTTTTATACTACAATGTACATTTAGTTTATGTTTTATACTACAATGTACATTTAGTTTATGTTTTATGCTACAATGTACATTTAGTTTATGTTTTATACTACAATGTACATTTAGTGTAATGTTTTATACTACAATGTACATTATTTAATGTTTTATACTACAATGTACATTTAGTTTATGTTTTATACTACAATGTACATTTAGTTTATGTTTTATACTACAATGTACATTTAGTTAATATTTCATACTACAATGTACATTTAGTTCATGTTTCATACTACAATGTACATTTAGTGTAATGTTTTATACTACAATGTACATTTAGTTTATGTTTTATACTACAATGTACATTAAGTGTATTGTTTTATACTACAATGTACATTTAGTTCATGTTTTATACTACAATGTACATTTAGTTAATTTGATGTGATTTATATCAGGGCATCAAGATTTTAATAAATCATCTGAATTTTATGGAAAAAAAAGATGGTAGAATTTAAAAAAATTCTGAAGACTAGAATTGGAATGAATGTTTTGAATTTTTATCTTTTCATTTTTATTATGCCCCCACCGTACCGGAGTACAGAGTTATACCCCTTTACAAATGGAAAAATTGCTGAATTTTTCGTTTCTGTTCTCCAACTTTAGTTTGCCTCAACTAAACGTTATGAATCTTATACATAATGCTTATTACCACAAAACACAGTTCAAGTTTGAATTTTGGTGGTGTCACTTTTACCGTTCTAGAGTTATGTCCCTTTACAAATGGAAAAATTGCTGAATTTTTACGTTTCCATTCTCTGACTTAAGTTTGCATCAACCAAATGTTATGAAACTCATATCAAGTACGAATTTGGGTAGCGTCACTTTTACTGTTCTAGAGTTATAAAAAGTTATGTCCCTTTATAAGATTATATGAAAGCGGGGGCATCTTCTGTGTCCCATGGACACATTCCCTATTTATTTTGGTTCCAATTTATTTCTCCAAATTCCCCAAATTTTCTGCATTTTAAAAAATGATGTCTGATATACAAGATATATTATTTTCATATTGATTTGACAAATAAATTTTTAAGTAATTTCTAAATCAACAGGATTATTATATATATTACTCTTTTTTTACTCCAATTTGTACCATTGGATAGGAATGCAGTAAGAATATTTTTTTTTTTTTATCAAGAAACCAATTATTATTATTAACAAACAGGTGTAGAAAAATAGGTGGAAAAGTATACTTGCAACAGCAATATTTTTAGTACATTGATTTCATTGTTTGGTCAGCAAAGTGCTTCTAATATATAAGAGATCTTTCTCGCCGCGCACTGAAGATTAAAATTAAAGTTGATATGTTTCTTTGTGATAATCATAGCTACTGATGAAGGTATTTATCCCTGTTCTCCATGAAATGTTAGGGCCGACATTCTTAACATTTGATTTTTAAGGATTCAAAAAAATTATCAAAGACAATTTGTATTTTTAGTATTTGTATGACTCCCTAGGATGACGATTTTTAAATTTGAACTGTGTACTTATTACAGATGATGATAATTTTGGGTAGTATAATAGGAATCATTGTCATAATTATCATTGGTGAGTTATCTCCCCCTAGATGTTGTAATGTGTCACTAAGTGTTGTCTAAAAATAACATCACCATATTTTATTGTAGAAGTGTTACTGTTAAATATTTGTTTGGTTTAAAAAGAATTAAAATATCAGTTTATTATTAGTTTTAAGATGATATGAAAGACATTTAATAAAATATGTTTTGTAAATACAGTTTTGTAAAAAATTGACATATCCAGTATTATTTTCTTAATGTGTAAAGATGCATGTACAGCATGCACATGTACAGTGAAAGAAATGTTTTAGGGAATTAAAACAATACAGTGTAGGAACACTGTTCTTCCTAATTTCTGCCATTCTGCTTTACAGATATTTATTTTAATCTCAATTGCTGTTGGAAAGTAGTTGAGCAGTGGTGTTCCAAATTTTTGATAGTTGATGGGCCTATTATAACCTTTCAGGTCATGAATCTGAATTTGTAAAGTTTGATAAGAATCTCACTGTAATCATATAATTGTCTTCTTTGAAGCCTATATATGCATTTAAAAGTAAAGCAGGTGACAAATCAAAAAGAAATACTGCTTTTATCATGATTCTTGCTTGTAAATGTTGTGTACATATGTCCGATAATGTGTTTCGTCATGCTTTAGAATGTTTTTATCAAATTCAGAAATATTTAAATTAATGCACTAAACATTTGAAGATTTAAAAAAAAAACAAGCAAATAACACTTCTGTTTAAATATTTGACATATCTCATAAATGGCTACAAATATTTACTTTTGTTATTCAGTTATCAAGGTTATAGGATGGATGTAAATATTGAAAAAACAATCAAATTTCTGTCCTTACTCCTAAGATGTAACAAAATTGGCACTTAATAGAATACAAACAGAATTGTCTCCCTTTGTTTGACTAATGACAGCGCATTGATTAAAATTTAAATTTTTTTTGTGAAACTATTCACTGATATGGCTTATCGCAAATAAATTTTAATATCCTGTAGTTTATATCTTTTATATAATAAATCAAATAAGAATATTTATAGGCTATGACCTTAAAACACTTCATGCATTATTTTTAGGGTGGTAGCTTCAAAACAAAACTAAGCAATTTATCTCAATGCTATATATAGCTTAATAATTCAGCTACTTCATGGTAAGAAGAAAATGTTTTTAATGTACAGAGAAATCACTATCAGCTATGCAGTTTTGAAGTATGAATAAAAATTGGTCCCAAAACACATAAAATCATCAGCATATTTAAGTCTCTATTTTCCTTTTTGACTTAAATTGCTTATCTAGTATCATCCTTGGAATTCATTTTGGGATATTTTAAACTTTCATGATAAAGTGTTCGCTTCTGAAATTTGAAATTGCGATTTTCTAGTACCATCTTGCTGAAATTTATAGCACCAGTGTAAGCTTAATTGTGTGATAAATTTCAAAGTATACCTGATAGAATTAGGGTAAATATCAGGGGAAAATGTCTTAATTAGAATACTGATGATATTTATAAAAGTGAAATCTGCTTTCTATGTTTTCACATTAGATGTTGTAACTAGATGTTGTAACTAGATGTTGTGTACTTTCAGATGTGGGCAATCCTTATAGCTGTTATATTAGTCATAATTATCATTATTGTTGGTAAGTTTAATGTTTATATATGCATCAATATGAGGTGTTTCAGGGTAGGAGAATACTGTAAAGAGGAGTTACATTAAAGTAAGGAAGTCAATAATGTGACTTGGATAGATCTCTTTTATTGTTTGATTACTTAACCACATTGCATTTTATTATATGACTATAAATTTTCTGTTTTCTCCTTGGCTAAAAGCATAGGAAATCCTCTTTGATAAAACATTATATTCACCGCGGCAAAAATCAAGAGAGGTTTATATAAGATTTGGAACAGCGTCCGAGTACCTAAATATAGATATTCCAAGGCAACGTCAATGATGTAGATTTATAATAACAGGTAAATTCCTGTTTTTTTGTCTTACCTTTGATGAAAGTTGCGGAAAGTGAGACATATGGATTGCCTTTTGGCTGCAGATGGCGTCAACAATTGTTAAGTTTTCTGCTTAAGTTTAGTTAGTTTGATAGGAACTACTTGTGATAGATCAATGATATTTAATACAAAGTTGCATTGCTATGGATACATATTAGTTTGATGACTGTTTTGAGGCCCTGCTCCCTAGGACATGGTCCAGTGACTTTGAATTAATTAGCAATTTTCAATGTTAAGTTTAATTAGCAATTTTCAGTGTTAAGTTTTCTGCTTAAGTCAGTTTGACAAAAACTACTTGTGATAGATCAATGATATTTTGTATATAGTTGTATTACTATCAGTACATATCAGTTTGACGATTATTTTCAAGCACTGCCTTCTAGATAATGGTCCAGCGACTGAATTAATCAATCATGTTGTCCATCAGATTGTCTTTTTCTGAACTTTATGCCAACAGGCGAAACACATCTCTGTGTCAACAGTTTATTTTTATTTTTCTTCTGGTTTTCAGTGTATTTTTTCTCTTCTTCTTGTTTTCGGTGTATCTTTTTTGTAAACTTTATTTAATATTTCAACTCATGAAAAATCAGCAACTGCAAAAGTAGATGATAATTAATTCTATTGTAAAAGTTTTTAATTTGATTTTAAAGACAGGTTATTATCCAGATTCATGGAAATTATCTTTCATGATCCCTTTACATAAAAAAGGTGACAAGTTAGACCCTAATAATTATAGAGGAATTTCTCTTATAAGTAATCTACCAAAAATTTTTAATGCCATATTGAATAATAGGCTAATCAAGATTGTTGACAAACAATTAAGTGATTGTCAGTTTGGTTTCAGAGAAAATCACAGAACAGCTGATAGCATCTTTTTATTGAAGTCCTTGATTAATAAATATTTACATAAAGAGAAAAAAAAGATTTATGCCTGCTTTAAAGATCTGAAAAAGGCTTTTGATTCAGTATGCAGAACTGCTTTACTTTATAAATTATGCAAATGGGAGTGGCAGGTCTTTTTACAGAGTTATAAAACAACAATACTTTAATACTTAATCATCTTTGAAATACAAAGATTATGTATCATAATTTTTTAATATTGCTAGAGGGGTTAAACAAGGAGACACCCTGAGCCCCACTTTATTTAATGTCTTCATAAATGATATTGTAAAAAATTTTGAGGGAAATGATTCAAGTCCCTTTAAGCTTATAAATAGTAAGGTGGGATGCCTCCTTTTTGCGGATGAACTTTTGATCC